GGGTGCATCAGTACATGAGCCAGTGTGTTACGGGTTTGCTCGCAGGCGCAGACATTGCCAAAACATCACGGGCTGTTGCCAATGCCTGCCTTGAACTCCTTTTTATATTTCTTTAAAAAAAAGTAATTTTGACCGGAATGCGCGACTACGTACTTGCATCGACAAGCAGGCCAAAGTTGTGTGAGGAAGTGGTGAGTGTGCAGGAAAAGGGGGGGGGGGGCTTTTTGATCAACATGTACTTCACAATCCGCTTCCCGTGGTAACCTTTTCTTTCTGCCGTGGTGCAACACATTTCCATACAAGGGGCAAGGCGGGGCGGACTTGGCGTCGTCAGGGCACCGACGGGGACACACCGACTGGAATAACTTATTCACCCGCCCCCCCCCCCCCCCACTCCCTTCCCCCAAATCAGTTTTGCCCTCCACCCCCGCAACCCGCTGTAGGAACTCATGCACGTCGCAGCCCATGCCGCAGGGGAAACCCCCGTCAATTTCTATGTTTCGCACCTGCCGGATCTGAGATGCCTAAGATGACGGCAAACGTCGTGTGATAGCGTGGCGGCGCGGCCAACAGATATGCACTGTCGCGCTCGGGAGGAGGCAGCCGCCGGGGCCGTGGGCGGGCTGTGCGGTTTGGTTTAAAACGGAAGCGTTGGTGGTAGAGCAGGCTCGGCATGTAACCGCACTGTGGAGCCACACAACTGCGTCACCACGTAGGCCGTGTGGAGATGCAACAACAAAACATTCCAGGAAAACAATTGCAATGAAATTCTCACGATTCTCACTCACGTTTTCGTTCCCCGGTTTCAAACCATGAAAATGTAGGGTTTGAGTTTTATCACTGCTTTAAGTAAAAAAATGTCTAGAAATGTAGTTTTACTCGCCTTGGTGGTGTCTCGAGGGCAAACGAGTGATAGCAGCGGACGGCAGATCGGTACGTGACACGTAGAGAGAGAGATGGGCGAGTGTTGATAGTGCGGGCGTGCGGAATGCACTCATGCGCCCCCCCCCCCTCTCTCTCTTTCTTCCGGTATGCGCTAAAATATCCAGACATTTTATTTTGAAGAGTTTCATTGTTGTGTCACGCTCCATGTGGCGATCAGGCCAGCAGTCGTGATGCCCACCAACGCGACCGTGCGGGCCGTGGGCGCCCAGCAGACTCGTCTCCCCCCCCCCCCCCCCCCCCCGGTGGAAGAGGATAGCCAGCGTGGTGCTAGTGGTACCCAGAATAACGAGAGAGATGGCAGAAAGTATCGGTTCTTCACATTATCACCCGCCCGCCTATGCAGTGCATGTCACGTACCACCGAGTCATGCGGCGCTGTCTCAATCGCACTCTGACGCCGCGTGGGGGTGGGGCGAGGTAGGGGCATAGCGACTAAGCACAGCGTAAAAAGTGGGGGGGGGGGTGGCCAACGGGCCTTGGCCGAGAACATTTTGCCTATCGTCTCGGATAACGGCGCCATGTTACCTACCCCTAGCGACTATAGGCAGTATAGGCCTGCGTGAACAGGGTGCGTGGTACAGTGCAGCTTGATTGAGTTCGCAGTAGTACCAGTGGCGGCCCCATCACAGTCTCAGCCAGCGCCTGGTCCCGCGCACGTCCCCCCCCCCACAGAGATACGGCGCTCTGGACCACAAACTCCGCGCGGCCATCCTCGCCTTCCTCTTCCCGGTCCGGACGGTCCTTGGCATTGACACTCGGGACCGAGGAGGTGCGAGCGGGTCGCGCGCGGGCGGAGACCGGCGTGGACCAGAGAGGACCAGGGATCGGTGGTGGCGGCACGGGAGGCAGGAATAAACCGCGAGGGTCCCGACCTTGGCGGCGGCGATGCGACACTGCGCGGCTCTGTCATGTTGCGATATTGGCGCGACGATATGCAGGGAGTCGCCCGTTGGGCCGGGCCGAGACTCAGACAGAGCCTATCGGCTGCTGGCTACGCTCGCCAGGAGACTTTCTGCCGCTAAACACACACATCACGGCGGGGCGGGGCCCTGCGCCATCGCCATCCCCGGCCAGCAATAAAGCTCCCTATCCCGCGCAAATTATAAGAGAGGAGAGGGGTCTATGGCGCGCGCTACGCTACGCAGTCCCCTCTGACTCGGCGGGTGCCGCGCGGGTCACCAACCCTTTTGGTCCTTACCGGCAACGAGAGTGATCACTGCGCAAGACCTTCCTGTTCTTATCCTTACTAAGACAATCTTGTCTCAATCTCAAAGTCCAGTGCGACACCGCGGCGCAGCTCGCGCCGATCGTGGCTCAGACCACGTGGGATGATTCCCGATGATTCCGGCCCAGGCGGCAGCGTTGCCCACGTGACTCTGGCCGAGTGCCGCTGTAGGTCGACCAAAATGAGGACCGGAACGCAGAGGCTGCTCGGGAAGTCCAAAAGCATCGGGCCTGAAGCAGGCCCAACCTAGTCCAACCAACCCGTTTGCTGTATTTTGTTGTCTGGGATGCGGCTGGTCGTTGACCGCCTCCCCACCACGCGCCCCTGACCCTTCTGCGTGCCACAACCTGGAGCGATAAATTCGTTTGGAGGAAGAAAACGTGAAGGGAATCCGATCTCGTCAGTCCAGCGGCGATCACCGGCCCGCCCCCCTCCTCCTCTGCACCTCTCTCTTGGTGCAGCCTGTGGGCAGCTTCCTTCCTTCCACCCAGGACAAATGGTCCGGCAAGGACTCGGGCGCCCTGTCGCCGTGGCGCGGCGTGGCACGGTGTGGAGTGGCGTGGCGTGGCGTAGAGTGGCCTGGCGTGGCGGCCCCACTGGGCGCCTGGACCATCAGCCCGGACCTCGCCACCGGCCGGACAAATAATAAGCCGAATACGCCACGCTTACTTTGAGTCTCGGCCGAGGAGAGGAGAGAGGAGTGGGGGAGGCGTCCAGACTCTCTGGACCATCGGGGCGTGGAGGCTGCGGCTGCGGCTTCACCTGGAGGCCACTGCGTCGTCTGGAGGTCCTACAGGGCCCATGGAAGTCCGAAGTCCCGTCGAGCCCCCGGCGATATTCCTCTTGCCCGCCACGTTGCCGTGTACCCAAACGGTCCGAGAGACTCCAATGTGGAGTGTACTTTATTACGCTAAAAAGACAAGCAAGCGGTGGGGAGAGCCTCCCCCAGGGTCGGGAGGAGCGACGGGAAGGGGGGGGGGCTTACTCCAGCACTTCTGCGAGCGAGGACACCAACGGGATGATGAGGTACAACAACGGCAATAGTA